GTTAGAGAGGCTTGCCCGTTTGGTCTACCCCGAATGTTCTTACGCGGTGCGGGATAAGATTGCTTGCGCACAATTTCTTTCGTCGCTTCTCGACGGTTTTGTGAGGAGGACCCTTCAGCTAGAAGGAATATCTTCCCTGAAACTAGCTGTAGAAAGGGGGAAGGCCGTAAAGATAATCCAGGGGGAAAATTTTGAGAGGAAAAAGGATTACGAAAGGCAATTTGAAAAAGGAAAGGGGGACGCGCTAACTCATGAAAGAAAGAGTAAGGAGGAGGAAAACGGAAGGAAAAAGGGCATGAAAGAGTGTTGGCTTTGCGGGAGGGCTGGACATTACCGTGCAGATTGTCCTGAAAAAGAGGAAAACCCGTGATAGGAATTGAGATATTGTTTTTAAGTTTGTTGTTAAGTTATTGTTGTTCTCAGTTTCTTGCGTTTTCTTGTTATTTTATGCTATAGGAGAGAGAGTTTTCTAAACGGAAAAGGAAGCTGACACGAGTCGTAAGATGAAGATTTAACAACGTGAACTCCCAAAGAGAAGACTGCCTCGCCCACGGTTTTTGAGCCGTGGTTTTCCCGTGGACCGGAGGGCGAATGCCGAGGCAGGGACTTGGGGAGTCCTTTTGGGACGACGGGTCCACGGAAGATACCCCCCTCTTGTCCGAAGAAAGTCATGGGAGGAGAAGGACCAAAAAGGACTCGCGCCGGGAACAGGAAGATGGCTGGAATGGGAGGCTGCCCTGGAGTCGGTTCTTGAGAGCCTGGCCAGCTCTCTGGAAGGGATCGGTTGGGAGCCTGCCCGGTGGATTGGGGCCTGATCAGAACGATGCTCGGTAACCGGGAGCAGCAACTCAGGGAGAGCAGGATCGTTCGGGGTTCCTGGAAGTCCACGATGGTCATTGAGCCCCTTGCTGATTGTCGGGACGACAATCTTGAAGAGGAGGGGCAGTGTTACGCGCGCGCCCGAGTCGTCACGGCCCTGCCGTTGTCTGGATCCCGTCGGCAAGAAGATTATTTACAAACAACGACTGTCAGCTGAGTTCGGTTCCAGCTGTCTGGCTGCGCGGACGCGAATTTGCATCGAGCCGCTAATTTTGTGTTGAATCGTTCTGTGTTATCGTTTGTGTTGCCCTGTGTTGATATTAAAGCTCTTAGTTACTTTTAAAAGTGTCTATTTATTTCGCGCGACTCGCGAGCGGCCGACCTTTTCGTGCGCGGCTTCGATATTTATCGAAGTCCTCGCCGCGAACGTAACAATATATTTTATATTTATATGATATTTATATAAATATTATGAAATATTAATAAATACGTGTATATGTATTTTCATGAAAATATGTGTAAAAACTTTTAAAAATTATTTTTTAAAATATAAAAATGAACTTAAAATTACTTCTGTAACATATATAACCAAATAATCAGTTTTAAAAAACATGAAATTGTTTATTTTCAAAAGGGCAGTTAAATTCTTTTTAAGAACAAAAATTACTTAAAATACAAAAGAAATTGATAATGTGGAAGTGTTAAAATTAAGAAACAGATAATATCAGTTAATAGAAAAAATTAATACTTTAACATTCTCAACTTATATTATTTTCTACTTAATTTTTTGTTTTTTTTTTTTTGTAAAAAAGTGAAATTTAGTTGTTTTTGAAAATAATAATTTATGTTTATGAAGAGACTATTTATTTTATTCTAATGTAAATATATAAGTCCATTCTGAATCCTCTTTTAACAATAAAAGTGCTTCTAAAAGTGGCTTATAAGATTTTTCATTGACTTAGCCACTTTTAAAAGCACTTTTATCAATAAAAGAGAACTCAGAATCTGGGCTATAGAATGAGTATAGAATATTCTGTGTAATATATTTCGCACATTTACAGAACATTCTATTAGGACATACATGGAATATTCTATGAATATACATAAAATGTTACATAGAATATTCGATAGATTATTCTAGTCACATTCAAAAAACATTTAAAATAGTACCATTCGAATATATTATAAACATACTATAAATATATAAGAATGTCTTATAGAATATTCGAAACATTCTTAAAAAATATTCATAGCACATTCATAGAAATGTTTAGTGCTTTCTAATCTGCAAACTGTTCATGTATGGCAAAATTCCGACGCAATTAGAAATCAAACGTAAGATCAAAAACGAATTACGCGTATTCTTTACAAGGGAAATATCAGGTAGTGAGATCACCGATCTTGAATTTTAAATATGTTTTAGAGATACATTACTTCCTCCATTACTTAATAGTCAAGTGGCATGATGCAACATTCGAATATTCACGAGAAATTTACATTGAAAGTTTTCCTTGTACTTTTTATGTAGAACATATTTGAGATGCTTGCAGGTAGTGAGCGTAGCGTAGCAAATGAGATAGCGAATAAGAACATAGCATGTTACAGATTCGAATACTACTTTTTTCCAATTTTATTTTTAATGCAAATTTTTATGGAATGTACATTAATGTGAATAATTAGGCAATATGAAGTTAAAGTGAAATTATTATTTCTATTAATAAATTAATATTTTATATTAATAATTATATTATATTAATGTATATTTTATATTTATACAAGGTAATTCATTTTAAACTTAACAGGCAAAATATGCGAGATACGAAAAAATATTTTAGACAAAAGTTATATGGTTTCAAAGAAGACATAAGATGTTGTCATTAATATGACCTTAAATAGTTACTTGAAGGTCACGTGAAAGTCACCTTCAAATTTTTAAATGGAACTGCCTATTTTTTTATTACATATTCCTGTAGCTTATCTGGAGAGCTTTCCAAAACACTATAATTAAGTTAGTTTTCATTAAGTATTTTTAAGAGTTATGAGGCTTGAAGTTGTTCCTTATCTTTACATAAACCTTATCTTTACATAAAATATCTTGTAAAATATTCATTTTTCAATTATTTTACCTTAATACTTTTATATACAAAATAATGAAAAGAATTAATTGGTGTAAAAAAAACACATAGTTGTTTCGAAAATAAAAATGTAATTTGCAATTAACAATTACATATTTTTTCTTAAAAATAACTATGTGGTTTATTTACACCAATTGATTCCTCTCATTATTTTGTACATAAAAGTATTAAGGTGAGGTAATTAAAAAATGAATATTTTACAAAATATTTTACGGTTTATGTAAAATTAAGAAACGATTTCAAGCCTCATAACTCGGAAGGTATTTAATGAAAATTAACTTAATTATAGTATTTTGAAAAGCTCTCGAGATGAGCTATAAGAATATGTAATAAAAACTAGGCGGTTCCATTTAAAAAATTGAGGGTGACCTTCACGTGATCTTCAAGTAATTATTTAAGGTCAAATAATGACACCATCTTATGTTTTCTTTAAAACCATGTAATGGTCTTATTTTCGCTGATTTCCGCGGAAATTTCCGCGAACTGCAATCGTGATTACAAAGGTTGATTAGGTAGGCATAAATTAAAAGGCGCGAAGTTGATACAAAAATAAATATGTTTTAAAAAAATGATTAGTGAAAATACAGTAGTGTATGTGTATGTGTGTGAGTGTATGTCGGCGCGATGCGCGATAAGCCTGGGTATGCATTCGTGGGTGTGTGTCTAAATGCTTGAACGGAGCTGCGTGTGTGTATTAAATTCGTGAGTCGCAAAAACTCGGCGTAGCTCGCAATAAGTCTCGTGCGCTTACTCAGTGGCTCGTGGTTTGCGTGAAAACGCGTTAATAAATGAGGCGTGTTTTTACGGCGTTAAAATCGATGCGTGAGATTGACGTTTCATGGTCGGATGCATCACAAGATCGCGTGGCGAACACCCGATTATAATGTTGGGTTCGCTTGTAATAGCGGATTTTAATGCCGATCAGCTTGTAATAGCGGATTTTAATGCCGATCACCGGGCCCGGTTGTCGGCCCTGTCAATGACCGCGTGACGTTACGGCACGTGTCTGGCGTTTTTCGCACGCTTTTTCTGTCGGGCGGGTTCTTGCAGTTTTCTCTGAATATTTCTAAAGAAAAAGAATGCTCTGAAAAACCGTGCTTAGCGAGAACGGCCCGCTGGGGGTAGCTCTCCATTCTACCTCCGTATGCACCGGTTGGACGGGCGGTGATGTAGTTGTGCGTATTCCGGGAACTCCCGGAGAGATCGGGGAATGTCCCAATTTGATATCGCACTCAGAAGGATGCGTCTACTTCTGACGAATCCTGGGAACTCCCAGATGTGGCAGGGTACTCCCTATCGCTAGGTTTCGCCGTTTTCGGCGCTCTAGGTTTGCTATCTGTTGCGACTGTGCGCTCGAGAAGCTGGGAAAAGAGTGAGTCTAATTTGGTCGACGGACTCTTTTTATATTGGGCTAATTAGCCCGCGCCGGCGTAAAACATGGTTGCCTCCACCGAGCGGGCGATAATCGTAACGGTGTGGCAGACGCTCGTGGGAACACGGATGGGCGAAGCCGGGCGCGGGAAGACTCAACCCGATCACTCGGCTGTCTTCGGCGCGCTTCGCCGTCTCACAGTATTTCGTGCGGCTTTTGCCGTTAATATTGTTAAGTTTAAAAATATGGCGCTCAGCGCCCTGCCCTTGCCCGGCGGATGTTCTGCCGGGCGGCAGCTTCCAGCGGTCAACTGCTGGGTATAAATAGGTAGGTGCGCGGGTGTATCGTTACAACCATGTAACTTTTGTCTGAAACATTTTTTCGTATCTCGCATATTTTTCAAAATATTTGCCTGTTAAGATTAAATTGAATCACTCTATATATTTTATGCCGCATTTCGGTCTGTAATCATACGAATAATATAATTTCGATTAATATCGATATTTAATAAAAATGGTTTCGCAGATAGTGACAATCATTACAATATTGAGTCTCCAGCAACAGAAAAACATTCATTGCTGTAGAAAAACGCTCCTACTAATCACATAATATTGAAATAAAATTCCTTGCAATATAAATGTGATTTTGGAGTTTTTTATTAGTTCAGCGAGCTTTTAAGTGTCCTTGACAATTGGTACAATTGGCATCCATTGAATGAGATCCCAACATCGTTCTGGAGTCGCATATGACTGGTAAAAAACGGCATTAGAGATCTGGATAGCTCAGTCTAGAATAGTTGCCCGTAAAGCGACTCGGGTTCGATTCCTCATCCAGCCACTTGAACCTATCATATTTTTCTAGTCCACGAATACTATTTTCTAGCAATTATTTGTTGGGCTGAAAAATGTGTGAATATTCTCTTTACAGGATATACGTTTATGCCGTTGCCACGAATGGATTCTGCTTGTTGACCAAATGAGCGTATAGACACGTTTGACCTCCTCCTTCACATGCATCCTTATCTTTTTTGTCATAGTCGCACTTTTTTTCTATTATATTTGTCTAATCACTTATCTTATCTTATACTCTCCAATAATGTTTCTTTTATAAGATATTTAAAACTGCTCTATTTTCTAAGTACGAAAACAGTTTTCTTAAATTCTATTAAGATTCGCATACATGAATGTACAATATTATATTTTTATATAAACATTTGTTGTTTTTTTTTTTATTTTTTGATTTATCGGTTTCAATTATACAAAATCAACTATTATACAACATCAGAAAAATATCTTAAAAACTAATGCTATCTTTCGACATACCTGAAAGAGTGGCACGTCTCGTGTTAGAAACTTAGGTAAGTTCACATCAATTAACGAGCGTAGAAGAAGAATAGCTTCATTTTCATTGGGATGCTTCAACTTTAGATTCTGCGCTGCAGAAAGGACAGTTTTGACGGCGCGCATACCATAGTCATAGTGTGACTGTGTAGATAATTGCTCAGAACAGAGCTTATATGTAGTAACGATTTTTGTAGAAAGTTCGCGGGCGAAACTAAAACCCGACGAATATAAAAAGATTTCAGCAATCATGGCGTAATCTGGTACCATCATAGCAACTGTGCGAAACAAGACTTTTAAATTATCTGGCAGCTCCGTGCGACCGGCATAACCAGGATTCATTGTGATGCACACGAAAACAGCTGGGTTCAATTTAAGTTTGGTATCTTCAAAGACAAACATTTCCAAACCAGCACGTACAGCCTATACAGATATAATTACTGTCTTTTATTAAATTACTTTTAAAATGTATAATTCTATTAATAAAGAATAATAGTTTGAATTATAAAAGTTAAAATGCCTGATGCTATAGAAAAAAATTGCATGTTATATGCAATTCAAAATTACACTAAGTACAAAATTTATCGAAAGTTTCCATCGAACTCTTTTTTTCGTCAAAAAATATATCATAAATACACAAAAATAATGTTAAAATTGTAAATAAAAACTGATAGTATTACATTAAGTATCACATAATTAAAAAAATTAATTAATGATATTGCAACAATTGATATTGCATATAGATACGCTCTTATTTGAATAAAAAGTGAGGACAGTAAATGAATCAGCGTTATCTGTTTTAGAGAGCGCATCACATTTTCTATTAATGTATGTGGTCATAGTACATATAGTATTGGCAGTGACAATCGTTGCGTTTTTTTAGTTAGTTCTCCTGGAGAACTTATACAGGGTGTCAAGGAATTTTTGACCTTCACAAATTAAGGAGATTGACTCAAATTAAGAAGGAAGGACCTCTATTGTTTTGTGATTGTCGCAATAATTAACGAAAAATTAAATAAAGATCGGCCAATGCGCGTGGCTAGAAGCACACGACGGCGAAGACGGTCTGACTGTAACATAATGGCAGCGCGCGGCGAAGCGATGATTGGGGAGGGGAGGAGCCTTCGCCGTGCGCTTACACACTCATTGCTAGAAGAGTCTAAAGAAAGAGATTACTCGTACATTTATATCATTCTTATCGAAAATCATTGAATGTTAATGGAAGATATAAAAAGGTATTTTCCGAAATATAGTCAAAATTAATAACAAAGAAATAAATTTGTAATTAGATGCTCAATATATTGCAATATTGAATAACGCAATGCTTAGAAATATCTGTTAAATGTTTTAATCTTATTTATGTGCGTGCATACATGCACATTTTTATAACATTAAAAAATATAAAAAATATGCAGAATATTTCATCTATATTTTATACTTCAATAATTTTTGTTTTTGGACTTATATTTAAAAAAAATGTTTTAAATGGAAAATTGCTTGACAACAAAAGGCTAATTTAAATTTAGAAACACATTTGTATGCATGAGTGCGTACACGTGTGCGTACGTAAATATGAACGTGTGTGTAATAGACATTTTCATTTATTCAAAGGTTAAGGGGAATTTAAGTATTAATTAAATTTATTCAATACTTTATAAATTTTAAATAATATATAATAATATTTTATTTATTACCTGCATTATGCATAACATTTGTTGAGCCACAACTGACAGCACTTCCAATTCAATACGATTAAACTCATCAAAACAAGACCATGCGCCACAGCTCACCAAACCCTTGAAGAATTTACCCATATTCTTGTAATCAAGACCTTCTGAACAATTGAATACTATACATTGCACGGCGATAACTCGACTCAAGTCTTTAGTTGTTTCAGTTTTGCCGGTTCCTGCCGGACCCTCAGGTGAACCACTCAGATGCAAAGAATATGCACCGATCAATGTGCGATAGCATCTTTTAATCCACATTCGACAACAATTTGAATTAGTATCAATTTCCATGTTTTGTACTTTCTTATATTTGTGTTTCTCTTTTTATATTTCTATTTCATAATTATTTAAAGACATTTTTTCAATTATTTTTACGTTTCAAAATGAATTGTCATTTATATAGGATTTATTACTTTATTATTATGATATTAGAGAAAATAATGAATCTATTGTATATAAGAAAAAAATTAAAAGTGGAAAATAATACTTTAGTAGAGTAACAAGGCGGTTTCTAACTCAAGTCCTCTCAGGGGGGGTGAGGCGCGAGGGGAACTGCGGCGCGGGAGAATGACGTCACGCGCGGGGAAGGGGGATCCGCGGCGCGACCGATGGACGAGGGGGTTCGCGCGGGAAAAGGGGATCCGCGGCGCGACCGATGGACGACGGGGTCCACGAGGAGAAGGGGGATCCGCGGAAAGAAGACGGTGCGAAGGTGTGAGAAGGATAGCGCTACGTGTGGAAAAAGGATAGCGCTACGTGTGTGAAGAAGACAGTGCGACAAGGATAGCGTCAACGTGCGACAAGGATGGCGTTAATGGGACAAGGAGGACGCATTGTAAGATGGCGTATAGATGGGAGAAGGACACAAAGGTAAATAAATGACGAGCATATGAAAGAAAGAGAATGAGAACTCGTACGAAAGAGAGAACGATAATATCGCGAGAACAACACGTGCGAGAGAGAACGATAATATCACGAACAACGCGTGTGAGAGAGACAACAATAATATCGCGAAACTTGCAATTAGCGCACAAGAGAGAACGATAATATCGTGAAAACAACGCGTGCGAGAGAGAACGATAGCGCGTAAGAAAGAGAGAACGATATTGCGAAGACGACGAATGTGATAGAGACAACGATAAAGACTTACAACTAGCGCGCGGAAGAAATTGCCTCCGGGATGGGAACGCAAAGGAAAGGCGTGTAAATAATTGCAATTTTTTCAATTAAAATATACATTTATTTAACTGTGTACATTTTTTGTGTCATAGTGCGAGAGAGATTACATATTCTATCTAAGCACGAGAGAGATAGCGCAATGACGAAGAGAAGAGCAATGACGAAGATAGAGATAACTTAAGATTAACGCGCGAGAGGATACAACGAAGATATCGCGATACTTACAACTAGCGCACGAGAGAGATAACGCAAGGGATGGGAACGCAAAGAAAAGGCGTATAAATAACTACAATTTTTTCAATTAAAATATATAAAATTTATTATAGCCCAGGTAGCAGCAAGCACACGTCATTTTAAAGTTTCAAATTGGTCATTCACTGACTATTCTTGACGTCACGAATTGACGTTTTTATGACGTAAAAGTGACGGTCTAATGTCACAGATTCTTGACATCATAACATGTACCGCATTTTGATGTTATAAAATGTACCATATTTTGACGTCTTCTTCTTAGCATAATAATATATTTAATAGTGTTGTCGAATAAAGCACTGTCTAAAAGTAAATCAGTGTATTATCACTGAAAAACAGTAAATAGTCACTGATTACAGCAGTTATAAATACAGCACTGCAAATCAGTGATATTTTATTGAAAGAATCAGTTAATTATTTTGATTATTTCAATCAGTAATATCTCAGTAATATTTCTTTCGTTATTGCCGGTAATATTAAACTACAATTCATCTTTCTATCTATTTCATAAATATAATATAAATGTAATAAATATAAAAATAAATAAATATAGATATAAATAAATATATATAAAATTAAAAATTTTATTTATATTTATTAAATTTATTTATATTTATTATATTAAAAATTTTATTTTATTTATATTACATGTATATTGAACTTGTTATTTTAAATAGATAATGAACGAATAATTTTCATTAAGTAGCCAGACATTTATTTGTCCGACTTATAAAATCGATTTAATATCTGAAGCCTCTCTATTGAGATTGTATAAGAAATTAAATTGAAGTAATATTTTTAATTTTATCTGTCACTCTTTGCAAACTTTATATAATGTTCATGACTAAAACTAAATACGAGAGAGATAGTGATCATAGCAGTAAACGAACGAACTAGCGATTATTGATTTTACAGTGAAATTTACTGGTTTTACAGTAAATTTTACTTTAACAATTGTTAAAGTCTGATCGCGAAAGTCATGTTATATGAAAAATTTTAAAAGATTTTTTTATGGGATCGATATACTAACTAATTATATTAATAATAAAATAATCGTCACTTCATGACTGAAAAATGACATCAAAATAATGTCATATCAAGTCGTCAATATAAAGTCATGTAACAAATTAATCATTTTGACGACATATGACCAAAAATGACCAGTTTGGAATGTCAAAATGACGTGTGCTTGCTACCTGGGAGTGTGTCTCATACATTTGTGTGTGTGTGTGTGTGTGTGTCTAATAATAATAATGATATAATAATAATGAGAATAATAAAATATAAAAAATATAAAATTTAATCTATTGTAAGGATGCGAATAGCTCATCAAAATTTACCTCTTGATTTATCTCCATTTTGATCTCCATTCTGATCTTCATTCAGATTTCTCATCTCTTCTGAAACAATCCCCTACAAAAAAAATCATCCAAAATAATTACTTAAATTGTAATGATGCGCTCGCGCATCATAACTATCAGTATTAATAAAATCTATTTTTCTTTACTCGCTTGTCTAATCGCACCCGCTAATTTCCCGCTATACACCTGTTATCTAGCTCGCAACCATGCACGCTCTCTCGCTCGCACGCTCGCTTTCTCGCTTGCTCTCACCGCTTTGCGCTTGCTGTCTCGCTCTCTCTCGCTCTGTCCGAATATTCGCAAATTTTCGCAGTCGTGCCTCACCTTAATGCGTCACCAGGTAGGGGATCTCCGGCCGAGTAGTATAAGAGCTAGTATAAGAGCCGGCACGACCAGTGCATCGAGGCCAGATCCTGACCAGATCTCGCCCGGGCCGAGGTGTTCCTCGGCTCGACCGGGTGTCTCCGGTGTCGGTCATCCCATCCCGGTCGAGGGGTTCCTTGATCCGCCGGGTGTCTCCGGCTTCCTAAAACCATTCCGGGTCGAGGCATTCCTCGATCCGCCGGGTGTCTCCGGCTTCCCGAAACCGCTCCAGGTCGAGGTGTCTCTCGACTCCCGTCGAGTGGCTCCGGCTCCCGTACCAGTCCCGATCAAGGTGTTTTTCGATTTGCCGGGTGTCTCCGGCTTCCTGAAGCCGATCCTGATCGAAGTGTCTCTCGACTCCCGCCGAGTAACTCCGGCTCCTGTATCAGTCCCGAATTTCTCGAAAAATCTTCAGTTGTACATGATCGGGCCATTCTGTATAACCATCTTCATATATAGTAATCTCAGCTTGTTTGACGAAACGTTGCTTACTCATATCTCGTATGCCTAATTCTCGATCGCGCACATATTGTGTTATCGACATCTGTTTAGTATTTTTCGATCGCACTAATATTGTCATCTTGAACAATAGTGATTATGCGTCTCCATTCTTCTATACGTGTTTGCAGATCCATTGTTGTAATATTATTTAATATAATTTATGTTATAGTCCACACATATATATATTAATAAAAATTGTCTTTTAATTAATTAATCTAAATTTAAATATTATCTTTGTCCAATACTTCTAACTGTTCATATATTATAATCACACACAAGTCCAAGTTTTTTTCTCACTGTCAAATATAAAACAAATTTGTTCATACGAATCACATATCAATTTGATTAGGAGCGATTTCCACACTCCCTATAGAATTATGGTCACAAGTTGTTGCTCAAGAATGATATTCTGATGCCGCAGACTGCCTCCTCTTCATTATATATCTTTTAATCTTTTGTCTCATTCTAACTAAAGCATCACGTCTCATCTATCTCAGCATTTCTCTACTCATCTTTGGCGATAATCGATACAATTTTCAAAATTAAATAAATGTAATAATATTTGTGATTTCACATACAAAGAATTTTCGCATAATGTGAGTTTTATAATTTTCGATTGATGCATTTCGATCGTTAAATCTCCAATCCTTAATGGGGCAGCAATCGATTGTAGAAAACAATCAATGTCTGCTTGCTTCTGCATCAACAAATTTAACGCAAAAAGGGCAACACTATTTGATTGCTTCGATTATCGCAGAGAATCAGTTCCACGTATGATACAGCTCCAACTTATTCCAATATCTAAATATTTATACAACGTCGGGGGTTAGAGCGTATCTTCTTCCAAGTATGCGAGTCGCACGACGTAGCTGAATGCTATAAAAATATATACAGGTTGTCCTAGACCACCCATACACTCTTTTTCTTTCAAAAACTAAGCATTTTAGAGAAAAACGTTTTCAACAAAAATTGTATGGTTTTGAAGGTAATATAAGATGGTGTCATTGGTTTGATCTTGGATGGCATCGTTAAGGTCAGGTCAAGAACACCTTTAATTTCTTAAATAGAACCACCTATTTTTTATTACATATTCTTATAGCTTATGTCGAGAGCTTTCCAAAACACTATAATAAAGTATTTTTTCATCGAGTACTTTTCGAGTTATAAGGCTTGAAAGTTACAGTATTGTGACATAATATTTTGTTAAATATTTATTCTTCAAATTCCTTACTTTTTATTTTTGCAAACAATACGAATCAATTAACGTAAAGAAAACACATAATTTTCTTAAAGAAACACTTATGTAAGGGCGTAGCGTGGCACAGTACATAGCGCACTAATCTACAAAACTGAAGAACAATTTTAATGCCATTTACAATGAGTGCAATTCTTGTGTTGTTAAGAACAATGTCTAAAATACTTGGAATAAACTAATGCGCGGTGTGTAATCTCCGTAGGCATTCACATTTATGCATTAAGTTTCATTCTTACAGAATGTCTATTCACTAAGTACATATTGAATTATTTTCGACAAAGACTTAAATTTAGCGTATACCATGAAAGAAAAGTACCGATTTTTTATTGCGTGATTGATAGTTATTGAAAAAACATTGTTGTCATTTGCGTGGCGCCATT